GGACGCGGAGACTCTCCCGGAGATGATAAAAGAATAAAAAAAGATTGGGTGCTTACAAGATCAATTTTGCATCTGCGGGGATGTGTCCTGGAAAACCACTGTGATCAGGACAGTTAGCGATCGCTCGTGAGACAAGAAAATTGGAGGCTGGTGATATCCTAGTCAAGGCATACCGGCGGCTACAGCGGTATGTTGATTTTGGGGTACACAGAAAAAACGAAAGTGTTGAAGTTTTTGTCCGGACTCCGAACCTCGTGGCATGTGTTCGGCCGCTTCTGCGGCCGTGGGAGGCCGGTCGTTCGGGTTGATCCCGCAGTCGGGCCCATCAAGTATGAAGTTCACAAACCGGACTTACCGAGCGCCATAAGCATAATCACTGTATTACACATGGTGTTAGCCAAAAAACAACAACACATGCAAGTGGTGTGTACCCGCAAAAAAGCTACTTACGATGTGATTTTGAGGATTGCTACCTCACCCAACGACATGGGGGGAATATCCTCGGACCCCAAGATACCCTCATCCCAGCCTGCATGTTGGAGTCAGTTGACGTGCACACCTCAATTTGCCATTTGGCATGTGTGGAGCGGGCTGGTTGGGATTGCAAGGCGCATACCTCGGATGACTCGACCTGCGCCGATTAGAGTCGTGAGATCGCCCCGGCCTACTGATGTGTCGAATCTAGCATTTTGGTTAGCAGGATGCTCCAAGTCCATGTGAAGGCGTCCACGTTGCCAGTCTACTTACTGTGTTCCCTTGTTGTCTGGTGCCTCGTCATCGTACAACCATCCTAATAACCTTTGGTTAGATTTTGGCATTGACGTGTGAATGCTAGCAGCAATACCAGTGTATTCAACGCAAATTTCGTCGTGCTTCTTGGGGAAGTCTGTTCCATTGCCTGGTTTGGCAACAATCTTCTCGACGCCCATGGTGTAGAAAGAATGTGCTATGCTTGTGTGTGGCGTTGGAGGCGCAAGTATGTTGTAACGGGCGGGATGCTAGCGTGGACAAAAAGTCGAACGTTGGTCAAGTTTATGACAGATATGATGGAGAAGAAAAAGAAGGAAGCTAGAGGAGTGCGGAAAACAAAAAGTGCGTGAGGAAGTGGACAAGGGGAAGATTTAATAGCAGGCGCAAGGCGTGGTGGTGCTTTAAGGAAGATGCTCCGTGTATGCTCTGGCAAAAAAGCTTAGGCTTAATGAATGGTCTTTGCTTTGACAAGAAAAAAAAGCAGTCCGGGGGTTTGCAGGACAGCTATGGGATAGATTGGCCTGCTCCGATCCGTCGAGCATATCCTTTAGCCCCCCCTTCGCATACGCATCCGTTCCACAGCTTCGGCTCGAAGGTAATTGTGGGCTACGAACCACAGCCGCCATCAGAACCTGACTGTCTCCCGGGGAATCCTACCCGACGCTCGAGCCGTTTTGGATGTCAGAAGTTTGTAAGGTTGGTCTAGCCCTTTGAATGCGTTCGTCATCTGCAACATCCTAGCTGACACGCGATGTGGGCTCCACATCTAACATGGTCGATGGTTGTACCCGTTCCTCAACTTTTCCCGCGACTACCGAGCAGCATGACAGCTTTGCAACACGGCCGTTTGCCCTGCGGTGCGGCGGCTGACCCTGCATCCACGCGGAAGGCAAAAAAAAGCAAGACATTGAAAATTGTTTTTGGGCCATGGTGGGATAAGGGAATGGATCTTGAGGACGTGACCTATTAGGATGGTGGGAGCAAAAGGAAGCAAGGGTGGGGACAAAGGGTTACCCTTAGTGGGGGTGCAAGGCTACGTACAATTGTTCAAAGGCAGCGACGTGCGGTCGACTGTCACCACGAAGACGCCCTTCGTCACAAACGAATGCACGGCACGACTCCAAAACCTTAATCCCGCATGGAGGAACGGAGGGATACGCAAGGAAAAAAAAACGCCGACACTGTACCTCTCCAGAAAGTCGCACGACGTGAGCAAAAAGGAAAAGCGCCTATAAACGCCGTAGGGCTAAGTGATTGACGAATAAGCTACTACCGCAACTTGTATAGGATGTGATTCGGCAGCCAAACCCGCACCAACGCGAGTCCCCCTGACTACTCGAGGCCCGACAAGGCAACTGGCCGTCTTGTAGTATTCTAGTAGATTCAGAGTGAACAAGGCTAAACATGGATTTAGGGAAAATGCAGGACCGTTTGCTAAAAAGCAATCTTCGGTCCATTTCACGGGGCGACTGGCCGTATTACTTACGTATACCAGACTAGTCCAATAACTAACGCAACAACCTCCCCCCCATGGCCTCATGAATCCAGCGTTGGAATGTCTCACAGCCTGTGGTGACGAACACAATGGGTCTCGTCGTCATTGTTTAGCATTTGACCCCCCGCGCCCATGTGCCGTCCCCCCCCCCCCCAAAAAAAAATCCCTTTGTCGAAAACCGTAAAGCCAAGGGGCCCAACAAACCCTAATCATCTCGCGGGTGGCATGTCTCTGGAGATTTGCCAATCACAGTAGAAGCGGCAGCACTGCCGGATGCCGTGCGGTGCTAGACCCACCCCGGGGAACAATCATGTTTTGTACTCCTAGCGTCTGGCGTTGGAAAAAGACAGCCAAATGCGGAGCAGCGGGCTATCGTGCTTCTCGCGGCAAACGCGAAATTGACATCCCTGGAAGGGCGAGAAAAAAAAAAGAAACGAGGCACGGGTGGCGTGGGGCTGAGGAGCAATTGCCATAGCCATTACACGTGGTCTTTTCGACCGTGCCTTTGCCATGGCCTTGTTCAGCCCGCCTTGTAACCTTCGGACAAGACGATCTTGAGCCCTGTGCGCTGAGTCGGGAGCCCAACGATACGGTCCGGGAGCAATGCACAGTTTGTATTGGCTAGACGAGGTGCGCTTGCAGTGGCGGCTGAGTCGTGGAGAAATGATCACCCCCACGCATATGGAGTGCAGCATCGTGAACATTAAGCACGTGGCCAAACTCAAGCTACAGCACAGCTGCTAAACCACTTGCAGCCAGGGCACCAAATACGAGCCGACGACGATTGTCATCTCCAACAATGTCCAATCAAAAGGTTACGCATTGCTGGTAAACGTAGCCACTACCCTAAAACCACCGTTGCACAAGATTCCGCAAGGCTATTTGCTCCGGTCCTAAGACCCGCAACGTTCAGCACAAGAAGCGAACCCCTCCCCCCCCCTCGCCCTTGGTCAGCGGCGCACCAAAAAGTCGGCCCATGACGAAGCCAACTTCACGTTGCTTTTTCCCAAAACGGCAACTGCACCAGGTCGGTCAGAGCAATGCTGGCAACGCGAGTGCTGGTGGTAGTGGTGGTGGTGGTGGTGGTGCCTTTGCCCTGCTCGGCCCGCTCGACGTAGTGCATGCGGTCAGTCCCTACAGTCTGGATGAAGGCAAGGAGCCGCGCATAGTTTGTGCCAATATGATCGATTCCATGGCTGTCGTCAGACATGACGAAACCGCCTCGCATCCGAACGAACATCTATAAACGAAACCCCCCCAAGTCAGTTTCAAGCTCAGCTCGCCGCCGAGCTCGGGCAGATGGCGGTGTGACTGACCTGACATATTGGCAAGCACGGATACGGCTCGGCCAGACCTTTGCGTAACCCGGCAGAGTTGAGTTCGAGCAGACCGCCATATGAAGCAATGAATTCCAGGTTGCGCTCAATCTTCTGCCAAACACCAGCCATGCCTTTGAACCCATCGTCGCGATGATCGCTCAGCAGACGGATGAGGTCGAGGTGCCCGACGACGGGGGGCCGCAGCGCCTGTAGCATCTCCCATTGAGAATCGAAATAATCCTCAAACAACCTCTCGTCGGTCCCGCCCGCCTTGTCCCTAGCCTGCTCATACGTCTGGCGGTCGTAGTCGATGGGAATCGTATGCACGTGGTGGACAGAGCCCATGAAAAAGTCAAACGGATATTTTTCGCGGACGCTCCGAATCAGCTCCAGGGTCGACGGACGAATCCATTCTGATTCAAAGCCAATCAGAATCTCTATCTCGCTCGAGTACTTTTCTCTCAGCCGGTTTGCTTCGACAATGAAGTCGTCGAATAGCTTGGCAAGGCTCTCAACCGTGTACGACTCAGCTTCTCCGGGGTAGAAGTCTTCGATTGGCCGGGGTATATGCTCGGTTAGCGCAAAGGTATGGAACCCTTTGGCTATGGCTGCCTGAATGACCTCTTCGAGCGTGTCCTTTGCATGGCTACAGAACTGGCCAGAGTGGCTGTGATGTGAGTATGGCATGTTGGGCTTATATCTTTGCTGTTGACCTTTTCTTGGGGTTGGGGAAAATTGTAAAATGTGACTCGACGCTGCGCCAAACAAAGACAGCGTTCTCCTATCAACGCCACCGGACTAAAGACTGCGCAACATGATGCAACGTGACAGAGACGACCTGATATAGCTGTTTTTTTTTTTACAAAACAGCCGCGTACTTGCTAGCCGTGTCTCGCGTCTCTTCCCGCATATGGTGGCTGTCGCGAAGAGGAGCGTGGTGTAATCCTTCAACGCCGATTCGTCGGTTTCCTTCGGCATGTGGGTTGACATCGCCCCGAGGTATCCAACTACCGTGCCACATCAACTCATGTATCGTGACCGTGTTGCAATCCGGGGTATGGTTGTACCAAATATTTCGAGTCAACAACAAGGTTTCAAGGTATACGAGGAAGTTGTGAGCCAGTACTATGTATCCATGGCTAATCGTAACCAGACTCTGATAGATGACCCCGCGTGCCTGGTGGAAATCCGGTTCTTGAGTCGGAGTATACGCTACAGCCGTCACATCTAGTAGTCTACCAAAAAAAAAAGAGAATCATACTAGAATTCGTGTATGAATCTAAGCTGCCATTGGGAAAAAAAATACATCACATTTCCTGTGACTGTGGCAGCCACCAGTTATTCGAATAAGCAGGATTCTCGTAAACATTCAACGGTTCTCATAGAGGAGAAGTCAAAAAAATAAAAAAAGCCAGTATCGCCCAACACTCCCAAAAATGTCCACCACCACCTCCTCCCCCCCAACCCTCTACTTCGGCTACGGCTCCAACCTCTGGCTACACCAAATGTCCACGCGCTGCCCCTCGTCCGCCTACCTCGGCATCGCCCGTCTCGACGCCTACAAATGGATCATCAACGAACGGGGCTACGCCAACATTGTCTCAGCCACACCCTCCGATCACGTCTACGGCCTCATCTTCTCCCTCACACCCACCGACGAACACCACCTCGACAAAAACGAAGGCGTACCCCTCGCTTACACTAAAGAACACCTCCCTTGCACATTCTGGGCCGGCACTTCGGACCGCAAAATCGATGTGACAAGGCCGCCCAGCGAGACGGAAAAGTCGGTTTTGGTGTATATTGATCGGAAGAGAGTTACAGAGGGGGTACCAAGGGAGGAGTACGTGTATAGGATGAATCGGGGGATTGAGGATGCCGTCAGGTGTGGGGTGCCGGAGGGGTATGTGAGGGATTTTATGAGGGGGTTTATTCCCGAGGATAATGGTGGTGAGGAAGAGGGCGGAGAGGAAGGAGGGGTGGGCGAGTTTGCAAAGAGGCAGGCTGCTGGGTTTAGGGATGAGAGTGGGGTTATTGAATAGAGCAAGCATGTAAAAAAAAACATTGGTAAATAATTGAAGAAGAGAAGCAAAATATTCCAAAGTCATAATACGACTACTCATTCATGACCAAGACTACTAAACCATACTCTGTTGGCAATGAGATCCTGCTCTGGACAAAAGCCAATACCGAGACAATCTCCCCTTCATCACACTGTATGTATCCATACCCCAACTTCCACACCCTCCCCAATCTCATCAACACCCCCTAAATCAACATCACTTTACAACTCCTCACGAGCCCGACGGTAGCTGGCCTAATCACCACAACGCGTCAGCTAAGGGGGGACTTAAAAGTCAGACGACTGGTGTCTACGCACCTCCTGTTCAACCTGCAGTTGCTCAACAACAGGTGCCAACTCAGATAGGATCTCGTATGCCTTCTTGTGGTACTCGAGTTGGGCAGCAATGAGGTCAGCAAGATTACGGAGTGGTTCCGGAGTGTCGAGGACCTGTTTGTAAGAAAAAAGAGAAACAGGTCAGTACTTGTATATCTCAGACCAAAACAGCTTCACAACTTACATTCTTCATCACACCAACAGCCTCCTCAGTCTGGCCAACAAACTCGTCCTCGGCCTGCTCAATCTTTGCCCTTGCCTCCTCTGTCAAATCATCATCAAGATTGTCCTTCTTGGCGGGTTGACCAGGGAGAGTAAAAGCAGGTCCCCTGGCATTGGCCTTGGTCGCATCAAGTGTCAGTCGCGAGTTTTCGACAGCCTTGCGGGCACGTGTGGCAAACTGAATGTTGGTGTTGAGCGTGGTACTCCACCCAGCTAAGAAGCGGCTCTGAATCTGAGCGTCCTGCGCCAGACGTGCCTCGCCAACCTTCTCACTGGCAATGGCGTACTTCTCGAGGGCAGTAGCGAGCGGGTCCTCGCCTGAAGATGTTTGCTCAGAGGTGAGCATGTGCGAGGCATTCAGGGCGGCGCGGGCAACAGCATGGCTGAAAGTCTTGGGCTGGGGCTTTGCGGAGGGAGGGGCAGTAAGAGCTGCCTGGGCTTCGGCGGGGGAGGTAGCACTCGAGAGTAGATTGACCTTTTCTGCGACGGTTCGGCCGAGGTCGTTGAAGGACTCGCGGATGTTGGCTGGGTAGTCGTAGGCTTCGTTTGCGTATTGTGAACTAGGCAGTCAGGATATGGTTTCTAGGGCGGGATACGGGGCGTCATACGTGACCTGGAGCATAGTCGTGTGCACCTTTTTCAGCGCATCGACTCGCTTCTCGAGCTCAATGTAATCCGGGGGCAGTTGAGTCTGTCATGAGCCGTGTTAATACTGCACTTTGCTACAGCGCGGATGCCCTTGTGAGGTGCTACGAGAACTCAATCGGGAGACTGCGCACCTTGTCCTCGACATTGCCAACCTGCTCCTTGACATATTGCTGTGTTCGGGCAGCCCAGGGGGTAAAGGTAGCGCTGTAGCAACCGTGTCAGTCCAAGTGTTCCTATCTGGTGCCGGGGTGCAAGTAAGCAGCGAGGGGGGCGCGGGGCTGTACGTACGAAATGTTCTTTCCGAACGCCGAAATCTTGCCAAGGTTTTCCATTGCGGTGTAGCGGGGTTACGGTATATCCAGACTCTGTTCGTGGGTGTTGTCGAGGGCGGGGCGTGGGTGTTGTCGTGCTCTTACGACTTTCATGTGTTCTCCGCCGCCGTTGCTGTCAGGGCGGCGCATGAACCCTGCATTGCACTAGTCCTGTTTGGGACCATATCAACCCTTTGTCTGGACAAATACCTCTACAATGCATCTGTTTTTCTTCGATACATGGGTTGGGATGTGTATAATTTCAGACAGAGAATCTGAATAAGTACTCATCTGAATCTTGACACTATTCTCACAAGAGTATACTCGGTTATCGTCATGTACGTATGTGCTTCATAAAAAGAAGACCATCCCCTACTCAGCATGGGATGCTATTATGAGTTCCGCTAAAAGATGCCTTGTTCAAAAAAAAGACACATCGATAAAAGATCAGCACGCCACAGGGGAAACGTATACATATTCGGCCCCACTGGTTGTCTCACCACCACTACCCTATAGCAGGGAGTGATACAGGAGTCATGTAAACTGCACGCAAATGCCTGAAACTGCATTGCTGACCAAAAGCAGTTCCGATCAACACTCTGCAGTTGGATGCGGTGCCATGTAAGAAGTAGGAGAAATTGCGCCATGAATAATGTCCTGGATTCCTAGAAACACAAAGCCATGGGTCATTAGTAGTCATCACATGCAAGCTTGGGACTTTGAATCCTTCATCAATCCGCTTTTGGTTGTTCACGGTTACTGATGCCGTGCAAATGCCTCACAGCCCTTCGCACTCCATAAACGGCGACCACATGTGGAGGCATCTTAAGCCCTTGCGTCCAGATTCTGCGCATACTGCCATCCGCCGCGCGAGTCATCCTCCTCATGCCTGTGAATAAACTTTCCATGTCTATGTCCATGCCCATGCATGTACATGGTGCTTGGCCTCTTCGTACTCGCATTCTGGTAGGTAGGGAACCTCCAACACCCGATCGCCGTCCGATGTTAAAACTAACGTGCGCCCCAGCATGACCTGCAGCAGTCACACCGCATAAGTGGACCCCGCTTTCGCTCCATTCTTCCTTTTCTGTAGTGAGCTTCCCGGGGGGATCGTGGCCCTGAGATGTGATACCAAGGCAAGCCATTGCATCTCACCCACGCAAGCCCAGTTGCACTTGCCAGTCAGTGTGTGACAGGACGCCTCTCGGGAGACGTCACCGGCGGTACAACTCCGGAAAGACCAGAAGAGTAGAGTGTTTCAGGTAGAACATGTCCTTTATTGTGATATACACAGGTGTTGCATCAAGAGACATGGGCAGACCGATAAGCGTCTTTTGGTACCAACAGAACATGCGCCTCCCAGTTTCTTCATTACAAGCGTCTTCATAGCGCAGGTAGCTTCATGCGAGTAAGCCACGTTACTGTACAGAGTATTGCCTTGGTACGCCAGGTGAGTAGCTCTCCGCGATGGACGATTTCCGATCACTTCCGTAGCCCGATGGCCAATCTGGAGAGCCGTATGCAGAGCCCAAGCCGTCGGCACTCGTGACCGTCATATTGTCAGACGTCGGCGAGTCGGATATGGTGAGCGAATTGAAAATGCCGCGCATCTCGCGCAAGTCCTCGGAAACTTGATCTTTTGGCGCCTGTGTGCGGTCTTTGATAAAGTCCTTGATTGAGCGAATGATAGGGGGGCACCCTTCGTCGTCGGGAAGCCACCAATCTGATGGCGGGGCCCCCATGGATTCAAGCATACGGTTACGGAGAACGTCAGAGTAGATGTATCTAGAGCTATGTAAGCATAATGAATCACACGACCATACTACTTTGCAGGTGTGCTTACCCTGATGCTTCAATCTTGGTAAATGTCCGACGAATCCACTGCATGGTCTTTTGGTCCTTAGGCAGAAACAAGACGGCAATTGCAAAGCTAACTTGCGCCTCTAGTAGGGCGCCTGGAGGCGCATCTGGATAAGCGCACATGGCTTCAAACATCTGTACTGCTCGAAACGCCAGTTTATTGTACTCGGGATCTATGGGTTGCTTCAACGCCATCGACGACGATATGGCGTACATGAACTGGAGGCCCCATATGTCCATGTATAAGAAATTTGTCGTCCACAATGGCCCGCCCCAAATGACATCTGGTTCGTAAGGGTTGGTGATGTCGTCTGGATCTGGGGTTCCAGGGATGCTGTGAACCTTGTGGCTTGGATCCAGTAAAACCTGCGGAATGCCTTGCGGTAAAGATTCCATTCTTTCTTGAAGCGCGGGCAATTGAGTCATGAATTCCTGAGGACTGAGCAGTCCTTTACCGGTCCTTGCAAAAAGATCGTTGGAATCCTTTGCTACCAGCCGGGAATACGCAAAGCGCTCTTCGTACTTCATGCCCAAGTCGTCTGGGTTCTCCTTGACCTTTTGGACGTATGATTCGTGGGCAGCCTCGTACCATTCCCGGCCCAATGTTGCCTCTCCGCCAGATTGGAAGCCAACGAATAGATCAAATCGAATGTACCAAAGAAGTACCTTGGACAGGAAATCCGACTTTGTGATGCTCTGTGGTGTGAAGAGGCGTGTGAGCATGTCAAATGCAGCTTTCTGGTGGCCCATCAGGTTGACCCAGTCACCAAGCATTTCCTAGTATCCTATTAGAAGAGTGACGTCAGTCCGACAATGTTGTCCTTACCTCTATGCTTGCCAGTTGCAATATGGTCAAGAAAGTAGCAAGACCCTGCTTCTTGTTCTTCTCAATCGCCATCCGCAGGCGCGAGACCGACTCGTTGTAGTACTGGAGGAATGTGGATATGCGACCGTCGGGCTGGGACAGGGTATGGAAATATGCGGCATATCCTGCAACGGCGTATTTGAGAGGCTCAAATTTCATAACCCAATGCATAAAATCGCCTTTGAGCCAGCCACGTGTGTCGCGCTTGAGGGAGTAGTGATGGACACTCATGTGGTTGCGGAAGTAGTTGAGATAGAACTGGAGATCTCGGGTCGAGCCCTGGACGGGCTTCGCGGGTTGCGCACTTCCTTTCCGGGACAGTGATGGTCGCACAGTGGGCGGGACAGTGGATGAGGCCTCGGTCGATGGGGAGACACTCTGATCGAGGCACGAGCCAGGAGTGTAAGACGAGTCGCGGTTTTCTTGGCTTCTTGACGTGTCGTCGTCGTCATAGTCGACGTAGTCTTCTTCCTCATCTTCGTCCCTTATGGAAGGCAGACGTTCCTTGGCATCTTCTTCACGGTCCTCGGGCGATGAAATGTTGTCGGCAGATGAGGACTTTGCCGACTTGGAGCCGCTGCGGGTAGATTTCTGACTGGATTGTGAGTCGGGATATACGCATTCGCGACCTCCCTTATGACACCCTGGTGAACGCTGTCAGAAATCAAGCCCTGTTTCAACGAGTCAGAGGCAGAAGCAAGCACTCACTCTCGCACACGGGGTGGTTTTCGTCACACTGCTACATGTCAATCGCTCTGCCTATTTTGGAGCAAGTAGAGAGAAGGCCACATACCTTGACTCTACGCTGCCTGCAGGTAAAGCATCCGCTCCGTGTTCTGCGGTGCTTTACCTGCTCGCCAGGCGCCGGTCGGCGACGCGCGCGGCTGTTGGCAGCATGGACGGAGCCGATGGGGCCAGATGCATCATCATATTGATCAGGGTAACTAGGCTGGCCAATGTTTTCGTATTGCACAAAGGGACCGGGAGCTCCTGGTTGGAAGGGGTTGTCTGGCATGGCCATGGGATAGGAGCCATGTGGGATCATCGTCTGCGGGGCATGCTGAACGTTGTTGTTGCTATTGCCGTTGTTATTATTGTTGGGAATGGAGTTGTGGTCGATGTTGTAGTATTGGGGCGGGATACTGTGGCCTGGCGGGGGGTAGTATCCAGACATGTCTTGTGAGGGACGAGGGGGGAGAGAGTGCGCAGTGAGGAAGAGTGCAAGACAAGGTGGTGGCAATGATGGAAGACTGGTGAGGATAGTGGTTGCAGGAAGAGGACCAACGTCATTCAGGTGCAAGGGTCCGAGGTCGATCGCCGTGTCAACGGGTGTGACAATGGCTCGGGCGTCAGGTACGGGAAAGTGAAAGGATATAGAAGTAGGAGCAAGCTTGCCGGAGCCGTGGGTTAGTCTAATGCAGGCTGGTTTGGGCGCGCGGGTACAGGCCCCCAGCTAGCAGCTAGGACAGGCGGTTCAACTACGTCTCCGGTAACCCTGAGTGATGGCCACACACGGGACCAGGTAGACTGCGCGACACCAGAAAAAGCTGGCGATGGAGGCATATGCAGTACCGATCTAGGAGCAGAAAAGGGGGGGCCGGCGAGGGGATGGTGGTGGTGGTGGGGGGCAGATAAACAGGGGGAGGAAGTGATGAGTATTGGTAGAGAGGAAGCACAGCAGGGGGTGCGCAACTTCAAGGTTGTGCAAGAGCGATAAAACTGAGAAAGATGGTATGAGAGATTGGGAAAAAGAGACAGAGAGAGGTCGGAGCTAGAGCAAAGAGGGCGAGGTCGGTGGACAGAGGAAGACAGGCAGACGAGAGAGCCGGCCCGAGCGAGAGCAGAGGCGTGTGTCTAGTCCTGGGAAGAAGCAATGGTGTATGTCCAGGAAGGGATAGTCTGAGGTTCATCAAACGTCCGCATCTGAGAAGCCGGGGTGCAGTGAAGAGGAAAAAGCAAGCTCCAAGCCCACTGCGCTGTCTCCAGGCCGCTGTGGGCCGTGCACGCAAACGCTTCCGCTTTCCGCGCAGTACTGGAATCCCAGGACTGATCGCTCTGGGCCAGTCCCAGGCCGTGCGAACAGGTCCACCCACCGACAGCAGCCACCTCAAGTCTGGGGGGGAGGGGGAAGGGCAGGGGAGGGTATCGAAGAGCAGGGCAACCAGCGGCGGAGCGGCCAAGGGGTCTGCCCGCTCCGAGCAATAAGTAGGCCCATGTACGAGAGAGCATCTAAGTACAGTTCATCAGATGCGGCCCATTTTGACACATCCCCGACGCTGATCCCCGCCTGTCAGCCTATGGACTACGGCTAGAGCAGGGCATATTTTTTTGTTAGGCGTGCAGCGCGCGGCTGCTGTGACGGCTGCTGGCTGCTGCTAGAGGAGGGAGTGTGGGCGGGGCGGTGGGCGGCGTGGGTAATCAAGCCATGGAGCCATGGAGCGTGCTATGGAGCAATTGCAAATCCAAGGAGGGTCGAGGATCGCCTTTGCAGCAGACGGATCGAGCCAAGGGCACGACACAGCACCAAGGCGGACATGATATGCGCCAGCCCCAAGTCCCAATCCCACCATCAGCGTGGTGAGGGCGGCATGGTGGGGCCCGCACCAAAAGGGCCCCCCTCTCCCAGCTGCCCCCTCCCCATGCCATCCGTTGCTCAAGTCAGCCGTGGGTGAGTGGCGTCGCGGCGATTGCGACGCGTGCTGCAGGTCGAGGTCGTCGTCACAGTGCGTGTGGATGGATGCTGGGTGGATGGACATGGACTGGGTATGTATGTAGGTCAAGATGCCAATGCAGACATGTATGTACATATGTACGTATAGACCGTATGTATACTAGTAGGTAAGGCTGTGGTTGGGTATGGACAGGCATGGTACATGGAGGTAAAGTAAGTGGTTACTGAGGAATGCATGCTATGGGCCCTTTTTCCTTTGGCGTGGACCCCCCCACTGCTGGCCTGAAGTGGGGATTGGGCCGATGCAGTGCAGAGCAATTGCCCGGCGGACGGGCTTTAGACTTTCAAGCCTCATCAATGTGCGTGGTTATAAAAAGACGGGTGGATATTGGAGCCACCGGGCCTGACTCAACCAGGGCGCGCGCGCGGGCGGGAGAAGGAGGGCTGCTTCGAGAAGGTGGCAGCACTGCCAACGACTGGCCACTCGCAGCGCTTTTCCTGCCACATACTGTACATACATGATGATTACATACATGCTTACATGGCCGTGAACTCTAGCCCGGAGCCCAGTCCCGTGACGGCCGTCAGACTGGCAAGTGGTGCAGCTTGGGAGACTTGGTATGTGTGTATGTGTACTTGTATAGAAGAGTCGTAGTAACTAGGTACATATGTACCTGTATGTAGGCATGCGGCGGGAGGCAAGTGGCATGATGAGGAGGATTCCGAATTGCCCACTCTGGTCCGGCTAGTGCAATTTGCACGGCAGGCCAGGGCCGAGTCGAGTAGAATCTCTGGAGCAGCGAGCAGCGTGAATAGAGTATATCGGTCGTCGAGTATACTTCGTTAGTGTCGTCAGACCATGGGGAGGCTAGGGTGAGAGATATCGTCATGGGCCTGGTCTGGCTGATTACCAACAAAGGACAAAGAGCGACACACTGAAGAGAGAGCAGACGTCCAATGTCACGTTGACGCGCTAGGCCCGAAGCGGCGGGGGCAGCGGATGCCGCAATGGCCGCTCCGGCTGCCCCCTGAGTGGTCGAGTGCCGTGCGCCACGCATCATGGACACGGCATTGTCATTTGCAGCATGCAGTCAGTGTGCAGCGTCTGACGGGCTCGACAAGCACCCTGTGCTGATGGTGCCCATCTTGCATGACCCCAGCGACCGAGCGGCCGGCCGGTCCAGCCTGGAAGCCTGCTGCGACTGGTGCTGATGGTGCTGGTTGCTGCGGCACAAGAGGCGGGCGCATGGCGTCGCCACATGAAGCGCGTCAGTGTCGGTGTGTGTGAGAGCATGTCATAGTGTAAATGAGTGAATGGTGTGTGATGGATGGAATAGTTGGTTATTAGTTAGTTAGTTAGTTACAAGTCGGAACACTCCAATTCCGCGGCTACGGCACACTCAGTCAGCCCCACGTGTCGTCGACAGGGTCAGCCCTTCTTGCCCATCGTGCCTTCCCTCTCTCCAAGCGCTTGGACCTGCACCACCCACAACTTCACACACACACTCTTCCCTACACCGGTCTACAAACAAGCAACTTGGCCACCGAGAAAAAACAATACCATCCGGCCTTTGGGGTCTCCTGCAGGACCCCTTCTGTCGTCCTGCACACCATCATCTGCCCATCACATGTCTGCTGCCCAGGGCACCAAACGTCATATTCCATCTGCCGTGCCATGGCCACTATCGACCCTTCTCCACTTTGTCTCACTCACCCAAGTCGCCGCCCGCGGACCGTCTCTGCGAACAAACTAACTGACTGGCCAGAGCCCTGACCAAAAAGTCCACATGGCGGCTCTCCAGGGCCAGGCCCTTTTTTTTCCTGTCTGCTGCTGCTTGCCATCCAGAGGGTACACTTCTTGGAACCTCGCCATAAAATCCTTTGCTATTGACAATGGGATTCGGCCCCCCCCTCCTCTGTTGACGTCCTTGTTTCCCAAACCAGCCTTTTGCAATTTCCGACACGGCCCCAACCTGTCCTGACGGTGCCTTTGGTAGTACCGATAGATATATTTACATATATGAAATGTGAATATACTATACTAGTTTAGATTTATAGAATTGCTATGTCAATATCATCCCAAAAGGTGGAGATTAGACTTCAAGCTTTCCCACTAGCCCTGAACCAAGCAAACCGTACTCGTATACGTATCTTTCGTTATACCGACACAGGCCCTGTCTCTTTTTGCCAAGAAACCAGGGCCCAAAAAAAGAGAACATGGTCCAAGTCGAAGGGTAAGTAAAAAAGCCGCAAGTAGACCCGATCAGCGAATGAGGGCTCTGATATTGTAATATACTCACCATTATACATTATCAGGCACGCACGCAGGACAGGCACGCAGGACAGGCACGCAGGACAGGCACGCAGGACAGGGCAGGACACGACAAGTGCAAGCAAAGCCCCATCCAGCTGCACAACTCCAGTGCACAAAGCCAAGCCAAATCGCCCCAAAAAAGGACCTTTCACTGCCTTAGGCCATATTATAGCCACTATACTCCCCATCAGCTTTAATATCACCCACTACAAACTTCACACCGATATGCCTCCCCTAGTCCAATCTACACATACAGCCGCGCCTTGGTTGGTGCAAAAAAAAAATCCAGCAAGTCAACGCAGAACTTGCGCTTTCCGATCTCTCTCTCCCTGCTCCATGCCTTGCCCCCGATCACCAATAACCCCCAACCCCACCAAACCAAAAACCCCACGTCATGCCCCCCCCGGCCGTTCCCTGCACCGTGTACATAGTAGAGCACACCTCGATTGCCAGCACCAGCATCATCAACGGCATCGTTCATCCCCATTATTTCCCCTTTTTTTTCCTCGACGAATCCCCCCCCCTTCATCTCAAATCATGACTTTTGCTACCCTTTTAGACTACGATTCCCAAATGCGCAATACAAAGTCCACGTGTGCATATGTGTTCCGCGGAGATTGAAGGTCGGAAGTCGGAAATCGGGACATGGAGAAAAGGCGAGGCTAAATGGACGGGTGTGTGTGTTTAATAAAGAAAAAAAAAGAGGAGTAAAATGGACGGAACGGACGAATGTGTAGTCCGTAGTATTTACTTTAGCTTTTCTTTTAGGCGAAGGGGGGATTTGGGGGGGAGGCTAAGGTGGATTTAAGGTCAAGTACGGGACTAGTGGTTGGAGTGTGTTGTTTAATATCGTAAGGGAAAAAAGTATGGGCTGTGAGAGTTTGATACAGGAGGTAGTAAAGAGTGAAGAGACAGGAAGGTAAGAGGGCAGATAGAATGGTACGACACAATAGGCAAGTCTAGTCATTAACTATGGGACCAAAACAACAGCAACAACAACAACAACAACAACACATCACCTCCTTCCAACACACTGCTTTCGAATCCTTTCCGTACTGGACTTTTTCGACATTTCTCTTCGCTACTAGCACTCCCTCCGGCCGTTGCTTCGTTAAAGGTGCAAACCAGAAACTTTGCAAGGAAATTCGTTTCACATGCTTGAAAATGTCTCCCCCCCCAACACTCCCAACACTGTTCCTCTCTCTTCTCTCTCCCTCCACCACTACCACCGCGCCTCCTTATCCATTTCCATGAAAAGACAATCCAAAAAAGAGAGATGATAAAAAAGCTTACATACATACACGCCATATATTTCCCCTTTGACCATACAGTTAGATGCCACGCCCCATCCATGATACCAGAAAATGCCAGTTCAAAATAAACAACAATCGAGATTTTTCTGAAAACTCGCATGCAAAAACAGCTAGAGAGACTCCATTCACTCCACTTTGTCCGTATATGTCAGGATGACGAAAAGGGAAAAGAGGGAAAAAGAAAAGAAAAGAGATGACACTCCCAACGTATATGAAACCCTGACAGGAAAAATTTGCAAGTGGATAGAAAAAAAGAAAATTCACGTCTCACATCCCATCCAACCCCCACATCCGTGACCGAATATAGATGTTGGAGAAAATAGAGACAATGCCCCGTTTAACAGGATAGGGAAGAAACAGACGGAGATAGATAGAGATAGAGCGATGAGAAAAGGAGAGACGGAAAATAAAAAAAAAGGGGGTATATATCAAGAATCTGAGCAATCGTGCACTCCCTCCCTCTCTCTATGTGTATATCATGAAGAGAAAGAAGGAGCACAATTTCGGGCAAGTTGTCCTCTAGACGAAATAAATCTTTAGCCCATCATGCAGTTGCTTGCGGTAACGACGGTGGAGGAGAGGGAGGAGAGGAAGGAGTAGCACTAGGCTCGACATCGCTCTCCTTGCCCGTCTCGTGGACTCCCTCGCCGCGACATAGCGGACACGAGTTGCGTCCTGTAGTCAGCCACTATATAACACATTAGTCATCTTCTATCCCCAGACATTCAAAGGGACATCCAAATCAGACATACCTGGTCAATGCAGATCTTGTGAAACATGTGTTCGCACTTGATGAGCTTGCGTGCCTCTTCATCCGCTTCAAAGTCGCACAGGCACACTAGACAGCGCGCTCCAGGCACGAGATCAATCGTCTCCTCGCCCTCGACTGCCTCGGCTACCAGCACGTTGCCATTCGCCCGGATCCTGAGCAACCCGGGTGCCGAAGCCACATCCTCCTCACTTGCAACAGGCGGTTTTGCCGGTCCTAGTATTGATGAGAGGAGCATCATGTCCTCGTACGTCGGAGAGTCGGTGAATAGACTGGGCGTTGTGAGGATGGGGTGATTTTCCGGGTAGCTGCCACCCAGCACATAGATGATCCAACTCCGTGACCCCTCGCCGGGGTTATTGTCCGGCTCCACCACTCCTCTCCTCCGCGGCGCTCCAGATCCGTATCGTGTAAAGTCGGATTCGCTCAGGCGACGGGGTCGTGCATTGCGCGGCTGTGTTTGCGGTTCTTCTTCGGTCGGCTCTAGAGTGGATCCGGCACCTCTTGGAACAAAGCTGTTTCGCCGAGATGGCGTGGCTGACTGGAGGATGGGCGATGGAGGCGAGGTAGACGTATTTGGCGTGGTGGCGCCCGAGGGGCCGGCGGACAGATTCATGGTGGTAGCTGGTGTCGATGGAGGAGGTTGAGGTCCCGGGGGTGAGTCTGTGAGCGATGACCAAGGGCGAGGGCGCTCTTGAGCATTTCCGCGGTGGTGCCTTGGACCGTCGTGATTCGAGGGAAAGTTGAAGCCGCCCATGGATGCCCGGCGGCGGTGGCTGAAGCGAGTGCCGTTTTGTGGTGGCTGCAGGATGTTTGCGTCACCTGGAGAGGTAGGAGGTGTGGGAAAGCTGGAGAGGGCATCGAGAAAGGGCGGTATGCTGGCGTCATCTTGTCCTGTGCCGCTGCCTGGCTGTATAGACCTGATGCCTACAATAATTATAGGCACCATTCTGCCTTCACCTTCTTCTTCGCCTTCCGATGCACCATTTGCAGAACCGCTGCCATGGCTCCCGTCGTTGTCACTTCTTGTGCTATCAGTAGCCGTGCCAAAGCGAAACATGCGGAAGAAGTTGAGCGGCGCCTGTCCTGCGCCAGGAGTGTCACCAGCTGCACCATCTTCATTGCCCCGCAATGCCGATGCTATGCTGCCGTTTTGAAGCGACTGTAGAAACGTATCAAAAGTGCCGTCTCGAGTGGCAGCCTGGTTATCGTCACCCACGAGCGAGGCTGCGGTGGCGGCTGCGGCGAGTGAGAGCAGCCTGGACAGCACGTCTGCCTGATCCTCGCCCTGGCGCAACTGCTGGGCATTGTCCATGGTCTCGCCCTCCTGCCAGAGCGAGCGTCTCCTGCGCTGGTGGCCGATCATGTTGCGTATGCGGCGCTGCGAGGGAATGATGCCGAGGGTGCGTCCGTCGCGCCGCAGTGGACTCAGAGGAGCCAACGGGCGCTGGCGGTGGGCATCTGGTCGGTCGATGGGCGAGTTTGAGCGGAGCAGCTGGTCAAAGTCCAAACCCAGGTCTGGGACCTGTACACGTGGAAGGACCAGCCCTCGGTCGGTGGCGGCGTGCGGGAGGGCTGGACGGGAGGGCGAGGAGCGCGAGGGAGCGTCTGGGGATATGGATGGCAAGACAGGCTCGGTGTCACGAGTGCGCAGTGAAGGACGGGCATGCAGCAGGCCCGTCATGGAGCTGAGCGAGGAGCGCGCTCTATGCAAGCGCGAGCGCGAGCGGGAGGGCGGGGGCTCGCGGTGCGTTGGCGGGGGCTCGTTGCGGGCATCGAGCCAGCCCAGGTGGGAGGACAGGCGGCGGGAGAAGCGTGCATGGGAGGAAGCTGGCGGGGGTGGTGGTGAGGGGGCTCTTGAGCGGTCGTTGGGGCGGATGGTGGTGGTCGTGTCCAAGTCGGTGACGGGCGGCAGCGAGGGCGAGGACGAGGCAAGCAGGCCAGGCGCCCACGAGCGCGGGCGTCGTCTGGACCGGTTTGGGGCGTCAGTCGCGCCTCTGGAGTGTGCCTGGCCCATTGTGCGAGGGCATCGGGCGGGGGGGAAGATGGGGGAGGGTGGCCTTCGCAGACAGACAGACAGACAGACGGAGAGGCAGGCAGACAGTCACGATGATCGAACAGACAGACAGACAGACACGCCGACCGGCGGACAGTCCAGCCAGGCCGGCCACCGGCCACCGTCGTATGGCGCAGCGCAGCCCCAGGACCGGCTATGCCGAAAGAAGCTTAGCGGCCATCCGCCAGGCCTGCCTCTGCCCGGGCGGGCCAGCCATGAAACAGGTCGCGACAGCTTGACGCTGCTAAGAAACGACAATCTCCTGGTCCTGTCCTGTCGTATCCTGCTCCCACTCTCACCGCCTCGTCCGCGTCCACGTACCCGACTGCTGCTAGTAGAGTGCTACACCACACCTGGCTGCAGTGTCGCCGGGCAGGGGGTCCGCGCCTACGCCCGCCGCCTCGGTCGCCGCCCGCCTGGCACCACCACCACCACCACCACCACCGCCACACAAACACCACCACCACAGACACCCATGCAATATGTACTTCACCACCCACCTGCGCGACCAGCACACCGTGCCCGTCTCCCTGCGCGCTGTCCATTGCCAAAGACCCGCAAAAGCACCCTCCAAAAGGAACCCCGCCGACTCGTCCGCCCGCGCCAGCTCCGACTCTGATTCCGACCTTTTTCACGGCCAGGACGAAGAAGCACCATCCACACCAGCACCAGCACCCTTCCCGCAAGCACATCCACGCACCACAGGCCAATCGTCCACCGCCGTCTCGCCCGCCCCGGAAAAAGCCCAGCTGCGTGTCGCAGGCCTATTGCCCGACCGCGCACACGACGTGCCTCCACCACCCTTCCCCCATGCGCCTGCCAGCACTCTCAAAAAGCCCCATGGGTCCACTAGAATCCAACAGCAAATGGCCAGCCCACCTGTCCATCTATACGCTGTCGACCCCGCTCCCACGCACCCGCTGGCCCACGACCCCCACGATGGCCTCAAAAGGTCCCATCTCGACAACCTCTCCACATTAATGCATTCGTGTCTGCTCAAGGGTGACTATGACCGCGCCAGTCGGGCCTGGGGCATGATCTTGCGCACCCAAGTTGCCGGTGGAACCCACGTCGACCCTCGCAACCATGGCCGATGGGGTGTCGGCGCCGAGATTCTTCTTCGACGCAACCCGCAAACGCCACGCCCAGACTCCCACGACACACCCCAGCCTGCTCATCAAACTAGCCTTTTCTCCCCAGAGGGTTTCGAACTGGCTCGAAATTACTACGAGCGCCTCATCGTCCAGCACCCAACCCGGAAAACCCAGCCATATGCCGTCGACGAGCGCATCTTCTATCCACCCATGTTCTCGTTGTGGATCTACGAGGTACGCGAAAAGAGCAAGCGTGCAAAGATGCAGCTGCAGGACGAACTCGCCAACCGATCCGTAACGTCGAGGAGCATGTCAGTTGACAGTGCTGCTTCCGGAAGGCCGGATGACTCTGGCGCAAAGGAAGAGGCAATCCGTACAGACGAGCTGGCCCAGGCTATCGAGATTGCTGAGCGTCTTGACCAAGTCATTTCATCACCGCCCTTTGACAGACAGGCCAATCTTCTCCAACTGCGTGCCAACGTTGCCCTGTGGATCAGCGACCTTGCACTCGGGACACTCGACGTCGACGAAGACTGGGATGCTGAATTTCCTGCACGAATCAGCGCAAGCAGCAACATGCCCGTTTCAAACAGAATCCAGCGTTTGTCCAATGCTCGCAGAGAGCTCAAGGAAGCCCACGCTTGCTTCGAGCAGGCTGCAGCAAACGGCGCTAAAGTGCAGGCTCCACTTCTTTCCAGCATCAACCTGAGACTCACCCAAGTGACCAAGTACTTGGACAAGTTGCAGCCCTCCCAATTCGATGACGACGACTACTAGTCTCTCTCAACCCGTGATCCATCTCTGCAGCCACACAGATATCGAACCCGGCCCTGTGCGCTGCTCACTCTTCCTTCTTCCCCTTCTCTTTTTGCATTATACCCCAGTTTCTCATGGAAATGATTATGACACAAGTATGTTGGATGTGACCTACTGCGAGGCCAAGCGTCAGTCTGACTGTGATGCGGACAAAGAGACCCGTAGCCACTCCGTAAGCTATGCTCGTGGCAAACCCGCACATGAGGACACAAACTTCAACAGAAGGACCTGTTGCTTTTAAACTTCACTTGATCAGTCACTAACTCTAACATATTGCCTTGCCCTCGAATCGTTCGACACTTACATATGTACATCATCTTTGCACTCCCTTGAGAGTTCCTATCAGATTTCTAGACCCTATTGCATGGCCTCGTCCGGTACAAGGATTTGGACGGCAACCTAGATATCGCACGTCTTGCTCTCTTGAGAGGATAACACATTGAGGTTACGCAAGCTTGAGAAGCATGCTACCCAGCATGTCTTGAACCTTATATAGCTTTGGGGCTTGTCAAGGCCAGTCATTGGACTGAACTTACAATCATGACTTTTTATTGCACTAGCTTCATGTGCTGCTTACGACATGGGCAATTTCCGGCTCAACCTTTTCTCGATGAACCAAAGTTTAGACATGCCTACGGAGGCGACTGAGGTTGGATTGGGTTTCCCCTTCGTACGGCCGTATATGAGATGACTAAGATAATAAATAAGATATTTCTCCCTTGCTAGAATGTATCTTCTCTGCGCATAAGCAAGAAGGGCAAGCAATGTCGACGTTCTGATTGCCACATGCATTTCTCTCGCATTATACTTGTTTTCAGAGGGGCAGACATGGATTAAATATGTAGCATATAGTGATTTTGTAAGATCGTCGTCAGCCTCGACCGCCCCGTCTCTGTTATGTATATCTGACAAAGCCTTGACAAAGCCTAAAATACTGCTCTGCACTATGTCACAGACCCGCACCTCCACGACCAAATATACGAATCAGAATTTCCGGCAAAGTCTCCACCGGCCATCTGCCCCGCCCCGCCTCCGTTGAAACTTGGTGTCATGTGGGGTAGTCGCGCACCTGTCGCGATCAGGTCCTCACAGTGTAGGAACTACCGATACATTTGGTATCCACTGCCGTGTCCTTTCCCGGTTATAATCAAAACTTGGTCGCAGATACCTATATAAGAATATGACCCTGAGTCTGTTCGTTGTCGAATCTTATGCGCATCATACACTAATTAGAGCGGGGTAACACCACATCCCTCACCTGATTGCACCGATACAGAGATACTCAAAGGCATATCAACGAAATAATCTTCCACCATGGCAGTTTCGGACGCACCAGAGTCAAAATGCGATGTGTCAGTCTGTTAATTCAATGCATCTTGAAAAATGGCTAACAGCTTTCAAGTCTGATTATTGGTGCTGGCCCAGCAGGGTACGTACTTGCCTCTCAAACTGCCATATGTAAGTGACTGACCTGGTTTAGTCTGATGCTTGCTACTTGGATGGCAAGATGTGGCATCGACGCTCGCATAGTCGATAAGCGAGGCACCAAGATTTACTCTGGACAGGCAGATGGGCTGCAATTGCGGAGTCTGGAAATCTTTGACAGTTTTGGATTCGCCGATAGAGCGTGGAAGGAGGCGAATCATTTGATAGAGGTATACTTGTTCACCAACTTGGGTCGACTTGACTAACGACATCGCAGTTTTGCATGTGGGCAAGTCTGCAGAAATCACCTCTTTCGACATCTCCTAATGTATACAGAACCCCGGCGAAGACGGTGTCATACGTCGGTCCGACCAAATCCCAGATGTTGTTCCTGGAATCTCCCGATTCAAGGAAATTGTTCTCCACCAGGGCCGTATCGAACGATTCTTCCTCGATCACATCAAGAAGCACTCGAAGGATACCCTACGTGTAGAGCGTGGCGTGCTTCCCGAATCGCTCCATATCGACCAAGACCAAGTAAACGACCACTCACCGGACAACTATCCCATCACCGTGCAGCTGCGGTATCTGACTGAAGAGGAGGCCATGCCCGCCCAGAGCAAGGGCTCCAGCATCAATGACGGCCTTTTCCGGAGCAATCTGGCAGATGATGATACCCAAGATTTAATCGCAAATAGCAGACAGAAAGACGGTAGCACAGAGACTGTGAGGGCAAAATACGTTGTTGGGTGCGACGGCGCTCACAGTTGGACCCGAAAGCAGCTGGGCTTCGAGCTTGAAGGAGAGCCAACAGACCACATCTGGGGCGTACTCGACATTATTCCCATCACAGATTTTCCCGATGTTCGAAAGCGTTGTGCCATACATAGCGCGTCTTCAGGTTCAATGATGATCATTCCGCGGGAGAACAAACTTACTAGACTGTACATTCAGCTCACGGAAATCAAACCAGATGCTAGTGGTCGGGCAGACAGGTCGAAAATCACCCCAGATACTATCATCAAAGCGGCACAACGGATCATTGCACCCTACAAGTTGACATATGAATACTGCGACTGGTGGACCGCATACCAAATCGGCCAACGAGTAGGCAAGAACTTTGACCGCGACAGCCGCGTTTTCCTGGCTGGCGATGCTGTTCATACTCATTCCCCAAAGGCTGGCCAGGGGATGAATGTATCCATGCAGGACGCCTACAATCTGGGCTGGAAATTGGGACTGGTAGTCAAGGGCGTGGCTCAACCAAGTATACTCAAAACGTACCAGTCTGAGCGGAGACGAATTGCCCAGGATCTCATTGCATTCGATCACAAGTTTTCAAGACTCTTCTCTGGCCGACCGGCCAAGGATCTCATGGACGAAGAGGGTGTAAGCATGGACGAGTTCAAACAGGCATTCCAGAAGGGTAAGTACTGAATCTCTAAACCACAAAATATGCTGACGTGACTTAGGCGGTCTATTCGCCGCTGGTCTTTCGGTCGACTACGGCACAAGCATGTTAGTGGGCAAACCAGGCAATGCCGCGGAACAGGGCGATGGAACAGATGTATCGTCCAAGACACAAGTCATTGGCAAGCAAGAACTCGCCTCGGAGACGAAGATAGGTATGCGTTTCCCGAGCCACCAGGTTCTCAACCAGTCAGACGGCCGGGCATGGGAGTTCCAGCAGAAGTTAAAGAGCGACGGACGATTCCGCATCATCATCTTTGCCGGCAATGTTGTCAACCAAGAGCAGAGTACTCGCCTAAAGGGCTTCTGCCAACGCCTCTCATCATCACCACTCCTGGCTCCGCGGCTCATCAAGGACGTTGATGTGCTCACCCTGCACTCATCCAAGCGCATCGAGGTCGAGCTGCTAAGAGACTTCCCCGATGTTCTGCATCCCTTTGATCCTAAGACTGGATGGGACTATGACTCGGTGTATGTGGATGATGGTAACTACTACGAAGCATTTGCAGATGCATACAAGAAATACGGTGTGGACAGAGAAAAGGGCTGCGTCGTAGTCGCCAGACCAGACCAGTATGTAGGATACATTGACACGCTCGATGAAGCGGGACTAGAGGGGGTGGAAGCATATTTTGCAGGCATTCTCAGGACGTAGACAGAAGCAAATCTAGATTTCTGCACGTTAATGCACACTGTCTCTCAACAGCGCCGCAGTATCCTGCAAACGCCCTGTTCACATATGCATGGACCTGTATGACGTGCTTCAGCCCTAAATCGTACACGGTGTGACGGATCAGGCGTCTCCCAGGACAACCACACAACCGCTAACCGTGTAACGGACGGCGATCCCCAGCCAATTGACCACGACAGCGTGCACCGTCCCACGCGGCTGCGGACGAATAATGGTTGCTATGCTGGTGTGCAACGGTCTAAGCCTGAAGTGGGTCAAGTCTGGGGGCCGTACCTGGCGGCTCTAGGGCTGGGCGGAGTGTTGGCACGACAACCGTGGAAGAAACAACACCGCCGGATGTGCCGCCTCGCATTAACTCTAGAGCCCAGCGACTGCATCGATTCCCCAGAAACATTAATTTAGTATTCCCGACGTCGCAATCGCTCTTCGAGTGACACTAGAGAAAGAGTACGACGCTTCTACCACATCTTGGACTCTCTTTTCCTTTTTTTCACGACTCACCGACATATCATGAACGGACCCACCACCCCAGGTGGTGCACACTATGGACGGCCACCTGCATATGACGACGAAGACGGCTCCCCTCAGCTCCAAGGAGGCTCAACCATGCGTTTGTTGACAAACGTGGACGATAGCCAAAGCTATGTGTCGTGAGTATTAGTTTTCCTTGTTTCTTCACTTTCACATTCACTTGCGTCCCACGTTTGTGGACTCAATCTCATTCCTGTACCAGAAGACGCTCCTTCGAGGACACTTCAAACATGTCGACCGCAAATAGCACCGCTGCGGCCCTGGGCACGCACATGACGCCCTCTGAGGCGGGCAAGCAGAGGGAGGCCGAGGCCGAAATTCACGACTTCTTGCGTGAGGCTGGCAATGCGCTCAATGCGACTGGAAGTGCGGCGCCAGCGCAAACAAACTCAGCAGGCAGAAAGTCATTCAGACAACAAGCCATCGGCTGGATGTCGCCTTCAAAAGCAACACCATTGCAAGACCCAGACTTACCGACCCATCACTCTCACAGACAACCCCAGCCAACATCGCGCATGTACCACCCATCACCATCTTCAGTATCCAGCCTGTCGAGGACACCCTCATTAATGGACAATGCCCCCAACATGCCCCCTCCAATTGATGACGACTACGTCCCCTACCGACGGTCAATATCGCCTGATCGGCCGTATTCACCCACGCGCACATCAGTCGACTACTCGCGACCGCCTGCTTCAGTAAATTCCTACGAGCCATACGACCTCCATGGCAGTCCGCGACCAGGCAGCCCTCAGCGGCCATTGCCACCCCAGCCTCTGTTCACTGCTGGCGGAAGGCCTGGCTCCCGCGATTCGGAGCGCACCATGGACATGAGCGACATGCGCTCAATACCCATGCATGACGACGATGACCCATTCACCGAGATGGGCGACGACCGACCAGAGTTGCGCTCGCGAGACTCTTATCTGACCGACGACACATACACAGACGTCTACACCGAAGTAGACGAAAAGGCGGAGCACTACGGACCTGCTCCAGATGGTGCGCAGGCCCGACGTGGTGCGCGAGACGCAGTCATGACGAAGAAGGAAGTTCGCCTGATCAACGGTGAACTCATTCTCGAGTGCAAGATCCCCACCATTCTCTACAGTTTCCTTCCGCGACGAGACGACATTGAGTTTACGCACATGCGATACACGGCCGTTACCTGCGACCCTGACGACTTTGTGGACCGTGGCTACAAATTGCGCCAGAACATTGGCAACCCACGTGAGACGGAGGTCTTCATCGCCATTACCATGTACAACGAGAACGAAATCGACTTTACTCGTACAATGCACGGTGTCATGCAGAACATCAGCCACTTTTGCTCTCGTATGAAATCCAGAACTTGGGGCAAAGACGGATGGCAGAAGATTGTCGTGTGCATCATTGCCGATGGTCGTGGAAAGGTTCACCCTCGAACGCTTGACGCCATTGCTGCCATGGGCTGCTTCCAGGAGGGTATTGCGAAGAACCACGTCAACCAGAAGGAAGTCACAGCCCACGTCTACGAATACACAACCCAAGTCTCTCTAGATTCTGACCTCAAGTTCAAGGGTGCTGAGAAGGGTATCGTGCCATGTCAGATGATCTTCTGCTTGAAGGAACAAAACTCTAAGAAACTGAACTCGCATCGCTGGTTCTTCAATGCCTTTGGACGCGCACTCAACCCCAATATTTGCATCTTGCTCGATGTCGGAACCAAGCCAGGCCCCAAAGCGCTGTACCACTTGTGGAAGGCCTTTGACACCGACTCTTCGGTCGCGGGAGCAGCTGGTGAGATCACAGCAGGCAAGGGCAAAGCCTGGCTTGGTCTTCTCAATCCGCTTGTTGCATCGCAAAACTTCGAGTACAAGATGTCCAACATTCTGGACAAGCCATTGGAGTCGGTCTTTGGCTACATTACTGTGTTGCCAGGTGCACTGTCGGCTTATCGCTATCACGCGTTGCAGAACGATCACACTGGGCATGGACCCCTTAGCCAGTACTTCAAAGGAGAAACGCTTCACGGTCAAGATGCAGACGTGTTCACGGCCAACATGTACTTGGCTGAGGATCGTATTCTGTGTTGGGAGCTTGTGGCAAAGCGAAGCGAACAATGGGTTCTGAAGTATGTTAAGGCGGCCACTGGAGAGACGGATGTGCCAGGTAAGATAGACACTCATCGCCCTTGTAGGACCATCTACTAATATGGTTGCAGATGCGGTTCCCGAGTTCATTTCCCAGCGTCGTCGCTGGCTGAACGGTGCCTTCTTTGCTGCCGTGTACTCGCTGCTCCACTGGAAGCAGGTGTGGGCCACTGACCACACTATCTGGCGCAAGATCCTCCTCCACATCGAGTTCGTCTATCAGTTCGTCCAACTGCTATTCACCTTCTTCTCGCTGGCCAACTTCTACCTTACCTTCTATTTCGTCGCTGGCTCCCTTGCCGATCCTGAAATGGACCCCTTCGGACACAACGTTGGCAAATACATCTTCTACATCCTGCGATACACATGCACGCTACTCATCTGTATGCAGTTTATCCTGTCCATGGGTAACCGACCTCAGGGTGCAAAGAGGATGTTCTTCTGGAGTATGGTCATGTATGGCGTCATCATGGCATACACGACCTTTGCTTCCTTCTACATTGTCATTGTCCAGCTGAAAGATCCCAAAGCCGAGAAGACGATAGGTTCAAACACCTTTACCAACCTCATCATCTCAACAGCAACCACCATTGGGCTTTACTTCCTCATGTCCTTTATGTATCTGGATCCCTGGCATATGTTCACCTCGAGCGCGCAGTACTTTGCTCTCCTGCCTTCGTACATTGCAACGCTCCAGGTGTACGCTTTCTGCAACACGCACGACATCACATGGGGAACCAAGGGTGACAACGTGGCAAAGACGGATCTTGGAGACGCCCGCGCAAAGACGAAGAACGTTGTTGAACTCGAGATGCCGTCCGAGCAACTCGACATTGACAGTGGCTACGACGAAGCGCTTCGTAACCTGCGTGACCGTGTCGAAGTACCTGAGCCCCCGATTTCGGAATCGCAGCAGCAGGAAGACTACTACCGCGCTGTGCGTACGTACATGGTCGTCATCTGGCTCATCTCCAACGCCATTCTCGCCATGTCCATCAGCGAAGCCTACGGCAACCGCAAGGTCACCAACAACTTCTACCTCACGTTCATCTTGTGGGCTGTCGCTGCTCTCGCCGTCTTCCGTGCCATTGGATCCACCACTTTCCTCATCATCAACTCGATCCATGCCATTATGGAGACGAAGCTCAAGTGGCAGGACAAGATTGACGACAAGAAGAGCAACAGGACTGGTCTTGGTGGTGGCAGGAAGTATGGCAGGAACAAGTGGTGGAAGTTTGGTTTCGGTGGCGGCGTGTCATCCAGCTGGTTCTCGGGCAGCACAATCTCAAGCAAGCTTAGTAGCATGGCGCCTAGCAATTGGGGTGGCAGCAGTGTGGGCCGCTAGACGGGTCTTGCTTTGATTCTCACGGTAAGTAATGTGAAAAGTGAGTATAACCTTTACGAATTTTACGAGTGCGCTGTTCTTGTGGGCTTTTTTGTTTTATGGAGATGAGTTATTGGAATGATACCTGGACTTGGAGACGCGAATGGTTATGTCGCACATATGTATATAGTTTCTACTAATGATGATGAGTAATGCTCGTCAATTAAATGAAAGCTTTTTTTATAGTTTGCAAGATGAATGCCATGACGATGTGATTGTCGTTTCCCATAGTCCCGTCATGGTCACATGCAGAAAGCTCAAAGCAACGCGCTGTGCCTGGGAACGACGCTCGGACCATGTTTACATGCATGCCACTCCACCATCATCCCGCCAAACACCCAAGCAGTGCCACGGACTTGCCCACCACACGCAACATTTCCAAAGCGACAACAAGATGGCGCCCCGCAGCAAAGTCGCAAACATCTCCTTCACCGTCGACTCCGCCTCGGAAGACGAAATGACGGTAGACGAGCTCAATGCGACCCAAAAACCCGAGTCCAACGGCGACACCAAAGCGACAGGTCGCAAAGCGCGTGGAAACGCTGCGCAATCAAAGGCGGGCGCCTCTACGACCAAGGCGCCTGCTAAGGGACGGCCCGCGGCGCGCGCAGCAAACGGAACTAATGCGACAGTTGCGAAGAAGAGTAATGGAGCAGTAAAGAAAGCGACCACAAAAGCTGGACGCAAGGCGCAGGCAGAGGAGGATGATGCGAACGGAAGCGACAGCGACGAAGCGGCGGACGTTGAGGAAGAGGAGCCAGCGCCACAGGCCAAGTCGACTAAGAGAGGCAGGCCAGCAAAGAAGGCGCAAGAAGAAGAGAAGCGCGAGGAGGAATCAGTGCCAGCGCCGGCAAAGAGAGGGCGCAAAGCAGCAGTAAAGGAGGGAGCAGAGAAGGAGACCAAGTCCAAGACAACCGCAAAGTCAAGAGGAACAAAGCGCGCGCTCGAATCCGAACCCGAGCCGGAGCAGATGACCATCCCGGAGACACAGCCAGAACTAGACACAGAAACTATGGATATTTCAGAGTCGATAGAAATAGAGGAGATACCAGAGAGCATGCCACCACCGGTACGGCCTTCTGCACGCCGAGCACATGCACAACCGAATAGTAGGGCGCGACGGACATCTGCTGGAGTGAGGCGGACAGGAAGCATATCAGACTCTGAGCGAGACCCCATTATGCGCCGGAAACTGGGAGACCTCACGAAGAAGCTCGACACCATGACAGCCAAGTACGAAGCTCTCAAGGAAGCAGCATCATCCGGAAAAGAATCCAACTTTGATCAACTAAAGAAGCGGACCGACCAGATCGCCAAAGACCAAGACGCCGTCATAAAATCTCTGAAACAGCAAGTCTCCGACACACAATCCCGCACCGCAGACCTCGCCTCACTCAAGAAAGAACTCGCCGCCGCCTCCAAAGAATCCGCACGTCTCGCCGCCGAAAACAAGAAACTCGCCGAGTCCCTCACAGCCGCACAAAACGAAAACAAGACGCTCTCATCTAAACTCGCAGCAGCTCGATCCTCATCAACAATACAGCCAGACGTTAAGACTGTGCCCGGCAGCGCCGTCAAACCCCGAACCACAGGCGTCGTCCTCCCCGGCACAGTCGAAGCTGCAAAGGAAGCAACCCTCGCACGCCAAAAAGTCGATCTGTACAGCGACTTGACCAACCTCGTCGTTTTGAGCGTCAAGAAATCAGACGAAGGAGAAGACGTATATGATTGTCTTCAAACAGGTCGTGGTCGCAGTAAGTTTCCATTTCCCCTTCCCCCCCCCCCTCTCCAACCTACCTTTCGCTCAAAAAAACAAACTAACAAATACAAAAAAAAGCCCTCCACTTCCACCTCACTGTCGCCCCCGGCTCCAGCCCCGCCGAAGAAACAGAATTCATATACCAACCCCTCCTCGACGAACAGCGCGACAAGGAACTCCTGGATATCCTACCAGATTATCTTACCGAAGAAATTTGCTTCCCCAGTGCGCAGGCTGTCAAGTTTTATTGCAAGGTCCTGGATAGTATGAATAAAAAGGTTGTGCTTGAGGACGAAGGCGAGAGCGAAGATGGAGGCGAGTGAGTTTTGTAAGAAAGAAATACGGCTTGCTTTGGGGTCATGTGGGGTTGCATGATGGGGATGGTGCATTGGATGAGAGAGTTTTTGGCGTATTTGGTTGCCTTGTTGTAGTATCGAATGATACCCCCCCCTTCTTCCCTTCAATTCCCATGTTTTGTTCTTCGTGTCTTCTTGAGGTATGATGGGTTTGCAACGTACAATCTATGCTGTTTTTTTAGCAATGAGAACATATGTATACAAATGATGTGTTTTCGTTTTGTTTTGTTGGTCATTCGATATCCCCAAATCGGCTTCATTCTTTTATCTACACAACTTTTTTTCTTTTCCCCTCTTGCTCCGTCTAACGTTGCAGAGAGGTCAAAAAAAAACCATCCCCCTCCCCCTGCGAAACCGTGGTATATTGGGTAGGTATATGTCCATCCGTCACAATGGGGGTTATACCACTGCCATATCTTTCCTCTCGCGGTCGAAACGGTGCGCTTATTTATTTTCCTGAGACCTTGTCTGCGGCCTTCTTGACGTACTCCCTGTACAAACAGTACTTGTCAGTTCTGTATTCGCTGCAATGGTACCCGAAGCTATCGGTAAGGAAAAGATGCAAGGAGGGGATAAAAAAACGCACTTGACAAAGTTCTCCTCTTCGCTGCTCTTCGCATTGATAGGAGGCGTAGTGGGGTCCTCGGCCTTCTTTCCGCCCATCGAGAGCGCAGCACCGGTGAATGTGGTGGCGAGCGTAGCAATCGCAAGCTATTCATATCTCGTTAGCCCCATCTTCTTCATCTACCCATCAATTCCACCTTATCCCTTCCCAGAGAAGCCGGAATGCAGAGAGCAATTGCTGCGACTGCAACACAGGAAACACCAATGCCTTCAATTGATTGTCCTCCGGCGTCTTTCCTTTGCAGCCGAGGAAGCTGCACTGGGGATAGAGAAAACAGGACATACAACGTGCGATCCGACCTGGCGGCCGAAAATCGTGTACATGGCAACCATCTTTGCGGTAGTGAAGGCTGTGTGATCCGTTCCGAGGGGAAAATCGCAGGGAGGATATGAGATGCGGATGCGTCAATGGATGGCGGGCGGGCGGGTAGAGAACGGGTTCGTTGCAGTTCGGAGCTTGCTGGTCTGCTTCGGAAGAACGAGGTGCGTGGCTTGGCGGGCGAAGAAAATGTGGCTGAGGAGCTGTGGCTGGTGTGGCTGCGCGACAGGGATGGTAGGAGAAATAAGGATTATGACGTGCGGCTGAGGTGGTGGGTTGGTTGGTTGCTGGCTAAAGGTCCCGAGGTTGCCGAGTGGTACGATGATAAGACTTGCGTGTGGAGTCTATTCTTTCTTACTAACGCTCTTTACCCTTTTGTAGACAAGACTTCGGATTGAATACTTGCGATTGTGTCGGAATGGCTAAAGATGCGAATGAGAAGGTAGCGGAGGTGGATGGTGTGCCTGTAGAGCGACGGGGAGCGCGTCCTGACTTTTCGGTTCCGCCGCCGAGGAAACAGCTTCCTAAGGAGCTTCAGGATACGCTCAATAATGAGGAGAAGCTGTGGGAGGTTATGTACGATGGCGAGTATGTTACCTTTTAACTGCCAAATCGCATACATCCATCGCAATGTGCAGATGGCTTCTGCCTACTGCTCCTCATAATAGCTAACACGCGACGACAGAGGCGACGACACGACGGATACATCTCTCCGCTATGCAGCCTACGCCTCGCGCATTCGCACCATTATGCTCTCTGCGCACCGCTATGTAGCCTACACCTCTGACATTGGCGAATCCTTCCGTCCAGTCGCCCACCCCTACCTGGTCAAAGGCGCATACGGCATCTCCTGGCTCTATCTCACCGGTGACGTCGCCCATGAAGGCTACAAAGCCTATTGCCGCAACCAGCGTACTCTGCACCCTGAGAAATTCATCGATGAGGCTGCGGATAAGTCGCTCGGGGAACAGAAGGACAAGGATATGGCGGCGACGGGGAAGTCGTTTGGTTCGGGTATCTTTGATAAGGTGCAGGATCTGGCGAAGAATGCGACGAGCACTGAAGGCGTCAAGTATGGCGGCGCCGCTAGTCCACTGACGGGTGGAGAGGTCGTTCCAGGGCGTATACCGGCCATTGAGGATTACAGGGCTGTCATGGCGCAGCGAGCGGTCTTCCAGGCTGTGGCTTCGATGGGATTGCCAGCTTTCACCATCCACAGCATTGTCAGGTATTCTGGGCGTGCGCTCAAGGATGCAAAGAACAAGACGCTGAGGACCTGGGGGCCAATTGGGGTAAGTCATGTTCCATCGTCCAGTGTATGTGGTTGAGAGAGTACTGACACATAATAGCTGGGTCTTGCGGCCGTTCCTTTCTTACCCTATGTGTTTGATGAGCCCGTTGAGCACGCAACTGAGTGGATCTTCTACAATGCATTCAAGACGTTTGGAGGCGAGAAGGCTGTCGAGGGGAGACCAGTGATTGGAGCAAAGGAGCTGAGGAAAGAGGAGACCGAGGCGAATAAGTTGAAGAAGGAACTCTAAAGTGACTTGAGAATCATGACGAGACATCCCTCTTCATCTATCTGTAAATACGATACCCACAAAGTATACGATCCGCTCAATCTATACATATAATATTCCACGAAACTCTTGCGTACTGGGTATCGCTATCAAACAAGGATGGAACCAACGTATGCAAACATCAAAATCCTCTCCCCTCTTACTCCCCTCCTCCCCCATCCCTCTCACAAGCCTCCGTAAACACCCTCAGCAATTCAGGAAACTCACACACATTCATTGACTCAAACACATCCAACGAATACAACTTGAGCGCCCCCATGCGCGGACTCTTGACCCCAAACGCAAGCTTAGCCAACATCCTTGCATCATCTCGAATCGTCACTGCATCCAGCACCCGCTTCACCTTGACGGGGTCAGGCGGCTGCGCCGGCTCATCAGGAAGCACAACCTGCACATGCGTCTCGCACCACGTACAATGACCGCATTCCTTCATGCCGCGCTCCGCATCGCCAAAGTACTCTGCCATGTTATTTGCGAAACAGCGTTTTGCCGTTATTAGATCGATTAGCGCGCGTGTGCGGCCGAGATTCTGGGTCTCGGTTTCTTGCATGCTTTTGTCTAGCTTTTGTACGATGTCGTTTATTTCTGTGGGAGATTGGGGTAAGGGGCGCTCGAGGCGGTATATATTCTGTACCCCTTCTTTTTTGAGTTCGATTGCGCCGCGTTCGTTCCATTCGTCGATTTTACGGACGAGATCGGCACGGTCGATGCCGCTTGAAGCTGCTAGGTCGTCTAGGGCTACGTGCGTCCATTTGCTGGCTTTGGTGGCAGCTTTGCGGATTGCGGATGCGGCGGGGGAGGTGTCGTTGAGGAGGGTGGCTGCATCTTTGGTTATGTACATGTATTTTGTGTAGAGGGAGCCGGCAGCGCGGAAGAGGTTAAATTGGAGTTCTAGTTGGGCGTAGAGGATACCGAGGACAATGGGTTTGATGTCTGCTTCTTGGCTTTGCGTATATAGGGAGAGGGTGAAGGTGTCTCCCGCTTTGAGGTATGCGCGGTCTGGCGAGCAGATATCTTGCATTAGAAGTTTTAGCGAGCGCAGGGAGGGTCGGTCGCCATATGTGAAGATGTTGCGTAAGTAAAAGTCTTTTGTGGATAGGTAGAACATGCAGACACTCGGCTTTCCATCTCGACCTGCCCTTCCGATTTGTTGACTGTAAGACTCAATACTATCGGGTATGTCAAAATGCACAATGTTGCGGATATCAGACTTGTCGATGCCCATGCCAAAGGCTATGGTGGCGACTACAATCATGTCGGTGCTAGAGAGAAACTCATCCTGTGTCTTTGACCGTACTGCAGCGGGCATACCCGCATGGTATGCTTTGGTGTTGAAACCTTGTGCTTGTAATTCTGCAGCCAGTGTTTCGGCGCCTTTCTGAATCGTCACGTATACAATAGTCGTACCTGGGTGCTTTCTGAGATGGGCGACAAGCTTGGCTACGTAATCGGCATCTTTGGTGTTTGCTTCAGCTAGTAAACGGAGATTGGGGCGATACATTGTCGTTCTGAATAGGCCTTCTTCGGGAATGTCAAAGGCATTTCGAATGTCCTTGGCAACTTTTGGGGTTGCGGTTGCTGTCAAACATATGACTCTTTCTATTTGAGCTTCCTTTGCAAATCGAGCTATCTTGAGGTAATCTGGGCGGAAAGAATGACCCCACTCTGAAATACAATGGGCTTCGTCGACTGCAAGCAGTCGAATACCTCCAGGTATGTTTTTGAGTGAAGCAATGAACCCCTCGCTGTTAAGCCGTTCCGGAGCACAGTAGATGAGGTCCAGACGTCCATTTCGGAGATCATCTTGTGCAGCCAGAAATTGATCGCGTGAAATGGAAGAGTTCAATACCGCGGCTTTTATGCCACGGCGCAGAAGAGCGTCAACTTGATCTTTCATCAAAGCAATCAGCGGAGAGATGACTAGAGTGACACCGCTGTGCCCGGCAGTGCGTTGTTTGAGTTCCTCATCTTGATACCTAAAAGCAACTGCAGGTACCTTGAGACATTAACTAAGCGTCTCAAAACCAGACGTTCGAACTCACTTGATAGCAGAGGCTTTTTCCGCCCCCAGTGGGAAATACGACTACTGCGCTGCCTCCATCGAGGATTCGTGTGATAGCCTTCTCCTGTTCAAGGCGAAAGCTGTTTAGACCAAAGCGCTCCTTGAGAATCCTGTTTGCGAGTGCAGTACTGGGAGAAGGGGTTGTATCAGTTTTCAGATCAGATCTGGATCGCTTGGGCGATGGCACTCTATCAGAGTTGTCGTCATTGAGCTTCCGTTTTGCACCAGGGGGGTCGAGAGCCGCAGTGGCAGCGAGGTATTCATCGTCCTCAGACGACCAGCCAAATTCGTCATCACTCATACCAGAAGACACGTGTGACGAAAGCTTAGCAGTTTTAGAACGTAGCCACTACCAGGGATCGTGGCTGAGGTGGTGAAGAACACGACTCGGTGGTGTTCGGGCAGTCTCGCGCTAGATCGGAAACGCGACGGCACGTGATTGGAGATGCCCAATGGGTTGGTCCACGGCGAAGTCTTCCAGAAGTCTACCCAGTCGATTCTCCGAATGGGGCAAAAATTACGACCATTGGGCTGATGTACATGGACTGTCAGGTTTACCTGTTGAATACACAACGCAATACAGGGAATTGCTTCCGGCGGGTCTCAGTGATGTTGAAACAGGCATTACATCACACCCAGAAATGCTTCTTCTGCCCGCACTAATTCCGCCAACTTTCCCCTCCTGTCAACCGAGCTACACAGACTATTGTCAGCACATGTGCAACGATTAAGTTCATCTCGTGCAGCGTAAAAAATACGGTGCCACATGAACAAGACTCCACTATAAAAGGGGCAGGGATCGATCGTGACGGGAGGCAGGGCTGTGGTAGATGAGCCGCCTTGAAGACAACCTTGGTTCTTGCAAGCCTCGCCGTGGGGTGGGCACTCTACAATGGCGGTCGAGATGCAACTAGCGTGCGTGTCAGATTTGTACCATCGGCTCGAGGCCCAATGGCGCCACGCGTCTGCTTTTCCGTCAAGTTTTCTACATCTCAGGCAGCCAGTCGATCTACGATCGGTCGACTTCTGCAGCCAGCATCTCCCATGCCTCCTCGCCTGGAGCTGTTCGCCGGTGTGGCTTTGCCAACAACACCGCTTGGGTAATCAGTCTAGAGCGGGCCAATCTGCTTTTGCCACCACATAGAAATCCTCCCTTCTGTCCTTGTGCATTCATCGCGTGTTCGGAATTTATGTACATGTTTGTGGCGACAAGTCCAGCTCAAAGACTCGGCTCTCGACTGCCCTAGCGGAGGAACGATATTGAACGGCATCCTCGCTACGACATTCCGCGGAGCGCTCAGGCATTCCTCCATCTCTGCACCTACACCCTACCCATATCCTCAGCCAGCCTGTTTACATGTTTGGATAGCTCACACTCGTGGCCATTTGCAGAAACCCTTCTATACGCATGTCCGGTTGAGCATTGCCGAAATCGGATCGGGATGCCATCAGCCGATCCTTCCCACTCTCGCCTCTTGGATCTGGAAGAGCTCGAGTCGGAAAAGACCCCGCTGTTTGTCATCAAGATTGGTGAGATTACACCGGAATACGATATTGCTTTTTGCAACCAACCATTCCGGGCACTTGATCTGCGCGGTCCTATCCTAGCTCAAGGCAGGGAAGCGCTCCTCTTCCGATCGTGGACACTGGCTTTGGGCGATTTTAAACCAGAATACTACTTCTTCAGCAGAAGATGGGTTGTAGAGTACGCGGGCCGGTCTGGCAGCTGGAAGATAATAAGAGCAATCAGCTCCGAAACCCCGGAAAAAGATCAACAATCATTAGACGAAAAGGCAAATAGAAATGGCCATTCTAGTAATGATCGAGGCCTGATTTCCTCACGCTCAAGGACGGATCTCGACAAACAAGTTAAACCTGAGAAACCAAAGTCACTCAAGAGTCTGCCCACTACCAACCTTAATGCCAGATGGGAAAGCATTCAGACGATGATGGAGATGAGCGATGTGGGGGTATTCGAATACAACTCTTCAGGAAAACTGATGCATGCAAATGAGGCCTGGTATAGGCTCAGGTATGTGCAACGGCGGCATCAGCTTTCGAGAAATCACGTGACTGACATCCTCCAGCTCTCACCCTGGGATACTTGAGCATTCAGAATTCTCTTTTATGGACCTCGTTTACCCTGAAGATCAGGCATTAGTCATGTCCATGTGGAATAGACTGGCTCTTGGCAGATCCGTCACTTTCGAGATGCGTTGGAAACCGCGCCCTGGATCAACGGATACTGCCCAGTGGGTGCTGTCAGCTTGTGTGCCTGTTCTCGACGATGAAGGAAATCTGATAAGTATTGCTGGCAATACAATCGACATCAACGCCCAGAAAAAGTCACAAGCAGCAGCACAGGCACAGGTCGAGGCTCTCAAGCAAGCACGAATGGCAGAGATGAAATTCGCCCGTTTTGCCCAGGTATCTCCGGTAGCAATATACATTTACGTTCCTGAGAGTGGTATGTTATATTTGTTGAGGATTTGACTCTTACTAATCTTGCAATAGGCATGAACTTTGTAAATGATCAATTCTTCGAATTGACTGGCCACGCTCATGCACCGGTGAACCAATTCGAGTGGTTCGATCTCATCTCAGATGAAGATGTATCCAGAGTCAAGAACGACTGGGAAAACATGTTCAAAGGTGGAAAGTCTAATGGAGTGCAGTTTCGGTTAAAAAAGACTTGGGTCAACCAGGATGGAATGCGCTCGAACATCTGGGTGCAAAGCTCAAGCTATCCAGAGCTCGACGAGAGTGGCAAAGTTATTAGTAAGTAAAAGTCACATAAATCTCCGGATTCTCTCGCTAACAGTGGTAGGCATAATGGGAACATTGTTTGATATCTCGCAATTCAAATGGGCCGAAGATGTTCAACGTCGCCGGATAGAGGAAGCATGGGAGGCGAAACGACAACAAGAAAAGTATAGCGATGTCTATGAAATTAAATTGGGAACTCACTAACTGTGGCAGTTTTATCGACATGACCTCTCACGAATTGCGTAATCCCCTTTCCGCCGTCATACAGTGTGCCGATTCAGTCATTGCTTCATTGCAGCAGTTGCTATCTCGAGAACTTAAAGCGCCTGGCCAGAGTTTGAGTGCTGCAAAAGTTTCAGCAGAGATTCGAAGCTGTATCGAGTCATTGCTGATCATTGTGTCATGTTCAATGCACCAGAAGCGCGTGATTGACGACGTTCTTACACTGTCAAAGCTCGACTCTGATCTGATCTTGATTACGCCGATGCGTGTACAGCCCGCCATAGTAGTCTCGGACGCTGTAAAAATGTTCGAGGTCGAATGTAGCCAGTCAGATATCAAACTTACCTTCCATGTGGACGAGACGTTCAAAGGTATAGAGTGGGCGATGTTAGACCCTTCGCGTCTATTACAAGTTCTCATCAACCTGCTGTTAGTTTGATTAAACAATTCTTTACAACATCTGCTAACAGACATAGCACTAACGCCATCAAATTCACCAAGGACCGCATTCGGAAGACAATTGCTGTTACGATCGGCGCGTCATGGACCAGGCCACCTAAATGCTGGGAGGAAATCACATTTAGCGATGATGAACGCGATAACATCAATATCACGGACAAGCCGGAATGGGGGCATGGCCGTAAAGCATTCCTGTGGCTCAAAGTACAAGATTCTGGGTGCGGCATGACCATGGAGGAGCAGAAGAAACTATTCGCCCGCTTCTCACAAACGACGCCTCGAACACACGTCAAGTATGGCGGATCGGGCCTTGGACTTTTCATTTCCAAATCGCTCACCAAATTGCAAGGTGGAGCAATTGGTGTGAGTTCCGCAAAAGGGGAAGGATCAACATTTGCATTCTACATCAGCATCCGACTGGCATATCCGCCAACTGACCAAATCGTTGGACGAGCATCACAAGCCCAACCCATTCTCGACCGCACAATAACCGGCGAAGAAGCCATGCGCATGATCAAACTCAACGTCCTCATCGTAGAAGACAACCTCGTCAACCAAAAAGTCCTGCGAAAACAACTCGAGAAATTCAAATGGAACGTCAGCGTCGCCGGAAACGGCCAGGAAGCTCTCGAATGGCTCAAACACAGCATATACTGGCAACCCGACTCCGACAGCAGCCCCACCCAAGCAGACTCCCCCAAACACGACCTCGACATCATCCTCATGGACATCGAGATGCCAATCATGGACGGCCTCACCTGTGCCCGCCTAATCCGCGACTACGAGCATCAAGGCCTCCTCGCCTCCCCTTCCCCAGCTTTCTCGCAACTCCGCCGCCTCTCCGCCATTTCCGTCTCCCCCATCCAATCCTCAAACCACAACGACCCTTTTTCCGCGTCCCTAGCAAAACACCGTTACTCCACCTCGTCCCTTGACAGCAATAATAACCCTGCCCACCGCCAGTTTCTGCGCCTCCCTATACTGGCGGTTAGTGCGAATGCGCGCATGGAGCAGGTCGAGCAGGCGCTCGCGTCCGGCATGGATGATGCCATTTCAAAGCCCTTTCGCATTCCTGAGTTGTGGCCCAAGATTAGGGGGTTGGTGAAGAGGGTGGCGGATGCTGATGCGGACGTGGACTTGTGATTTGGGGGTGTTGGTTTTCTTTTCCTGAGTTCAATGTTACAGAGGGGTGTTTTTTACACTGGTGTTTTGGGTCTATGGAAGCATTTCGGTATGCATTGGTATGGGCGTTTTAAGATAGGGTGCAGCAATGAAGTTGAATGGTTTTTCTTCTTCTTCTTTGCTGCGGGATTGGGTCTGGATGCATGGGATTTGTAGAAGGGGGAGCATTTTGGTCATGAGGAGTGAGTGGAATATATCTTTTGGCTACTTTGCAGGGAGCATTGCGAAATTTTGCAAAATTGAAGAGTTCAAAGGGTGTGATGATGATGTTTGATTGAATTCATGTATTTTAACAAGGTCACAAGGGTACAGACATGAGGAGAAGAAGTATCTCCAACTTGCGAAGACACTTGAACGTTACATACTACAACAGCACCACCAAGCTCATTTTCACGATACCTCTCAGAAAACACACTTGAGCTTGAAAAACGTTCCTAATCTCCCGATCACCAAGTCCCTCCCACAACTCAAACCAGCTTCACAGCCTCAAAATCATCCTCAGTCAAATCCGCAACCGCCTCCCCGTGCATAACGCCATGCAAGTACGCCTGTCCAAGAATCTTGAAATCGCCATTGTAAAGCGGTCTTAGCACAAAAGGCGTATCAGCGCCCATAGGAAGCCAGATCTGGTCGCCTCCCTCAGTGATTCTCGGTCCGAGTCCTAGTCGTCCGTCGCGAGTTAGGAAGCAGCGGGTGTTTTCGGCACGGATATCAGTCATGTAGTGCTCCTCGTCACCCTTCTCATGGTCCTGGGAGGAAGACTGGGTTGATGTTCCGTTCTCTTTTGTTTTAGGGCTCGTGGTATCTTTGGACTTGGCAAAGCGATATGCGCAGAAATTATAGTAGTGTTGCATTGAATTTTGCTCGTTGATGGGATCCCATGAGCCCTCTTCGTTGGATGTCAATCCTACTGTCAGGGCGGCCGAAAGGCTTTTCAGGTCGCAGTACTTCTGGGTAGCGAAGTCGTTCTTGAGCATGTCCAGTGTCTCGATGATGCTTTCTAGAGGATTGTAATAGTCATCGTTTGCCGCAGGAGGTTGTGTAATCTTTGTTTCGCTATCTGGCGGATGCTTCGTATACTCTTCATACGGAATTAGCATTGAGCAGTACACTGGTCCCATGCAACGGGCTTTGATGCTGAGAGTCCTGGGCTTCAACCTAGTACCAAACGAAATTTCAAATGAAGTAGACGGCAAGCGCGTAGCCGCAGTGTATGTATTCACAATTGTGGCTAATGGCGAGGCCTCGCTGATATTCCATCTTGGTACCCAGGAAGGGAAGTCCTCCTCGATTGATGCTTCATCATGCTGAATGTGCCGCAAAATTTTTAACCCTGATCCATATTTCTGAATCATTTGAAACGCAAATTGGGAGTATACATCCATAGCGGTCGTATCGTCACTGTAGTCAGGCTTGACAACAGTTGTTTTGTTGTTATAAATGCTCCGCGGGTACCACATGTAAGGCTCAGAATCCAATATTTGCTGTTTGAAAGCCGAGGGATGTCCCAAAAAGGCGTACACAGAGTCCCTTGAATCCTTACACTGCAAGCCTCTCGCCGATGCCAGAATGTCGCAAAAATCTTCAGCAAGATGGGGATCATTGCCAAATGCCAGCCGCTGGTTACCGCGTGTACTTTCTTGGTATTGACGAGCCAGGTTGAATGTTTGCAGGTTGAATCTGTAACGGGCTTGACTTAACGGAGCGTGAAACAAGAGAAATTCACAAAAGCGATCGATATCCCGGAAGTCGATTGAGGCATCTCCACAGTAGAATGTTGCATATTTCGCCAAACCAAGCTCCTGAACTACCCATACTCGTGTAAACCAATCTCGAGTAAACAAATGTTGGACTGAGTCCCATGAAACTGTTTCCTTGCTTCCCTGAACCTCTTCTATTATGTTTGATGTGGTATTTGGCTGATGAATACGTCTGTTATTTGCCCATGTTTCTGTAAGGTCGCTGCATTTGCGTATAAATTCAAACGCTTTCTCAACACTGACTTGCTTCGCGCTCTTATCTTCTTCGCCAAGCCACACAAGCACTCTGCTGGCTTTCCAATAAATTACGCCCATAAGGGAAACTTGCTGTGATTTTTCTTTGTCATTTTTCTGATTGATGCATATACCATCCACCCACATAACTCGGGGTTTGTCTTTATATCGAAAAAAACGGAGCGTGCTTTCCAGATTGGCTCTTATCTCGAGCAACTGACCATCGCAGTCAATTTTCTTAGTTTCTTCTGATGTTCCCCAACAATACGAAAGAGCTTCATACACCCCAAGTTCTGACATTGAGTCGACGTTAAATCTGTCTTCAAAATCGGCCAGGGCAACGGTTTTCAGGGAACAGCTGATCGCGGCATCTCGGGGTCCTGGCAGCAAGACGAGAAGCCGTATACAGCCTTCGGGCAAAGTCTTGTATTCATAGTTAGGCTTTACCGATCTCTGTAAGCCACAAAGCTTTCTGAATAGAGTTTTCATGATTAAACCCAGTCAACAAAAGATGAGGAAAGTAAGGATAAAAGATAAAAGAGTCCGGACAACAGCGACCAGCCTAAGAATAGTCTTCGTTAAATATAATCATAGCAGCGCTGTGATTTTCATATGAAGAGGCACATGGTTACTTTGCATGGAAACAGTGCTCTGAATAGATCAATCCTGTCATGGCAGGCGGCAACAGAGGTAAAGGTATTCGCTCGCCTGTCGCCAGGCTCCTGAAACCCTGCACGGCTGCAGAAAAATGGGTACAGTTCATGACCGGGATGAAGAGCCAATGATACCAAAGTTGTCGTCGTGTAGGATTATTAGTATATGTCGCGAAGAAGCGCCGAGTTAATCCATATGGGAACCAGGAGGATCGGTATGTGGCGGCGGAGGCTGGAGCCGTCACCTCGGACCCTGACGCTAGCGTGCCGCGCTCGGAACTGCCCTCATCATTCCGACTTAGCAGTCGTCAGCTCAGTTGCCTGGATTTGAAGACCTTCTCGGCGTTTCCTGCGTCTTCTTTCTGTATTTCTAACCATATCGTCATCTCACTAGACGAAAGCACATTTAGTAATCTCTTTTCTTATTGCAATATTATTACTTAGCCTTACTATCGCGCTGCCACTATGACATCTACCAACGATTCAAGCTATACCGAGATGAAGGGCGAGGTTGAGGCTATTGGCGCACATTGCCAGCTGGAGTATTGCAACGTACTTGATTTTTTACCGTTCCGCTGCGAAAGCTGTAAAGGGTAGGCATAGGACTTTTCCATCCAAAGTCGCTCCAGATACTAACGTACCTAGGCATTTCTGTCTCGACCACCGTACCGAGAGCGCACATAAATGCCCAAAGCAGGGCGAGTGGGCACGGCGCAAAGCTGACAGAAACTCGGAGGAGCTGCCACCAAAACCGACACTATTCAACCACGAACAGCAGTGTGCCAGTGTCTCCTGCAAAACACTCATCGACACCGCCCGCACCCAAGGTGTACAGTGCACCCGCTGCAATCGCCGCTACTGTCTCAAGCACCGTTTCGAAGAAGACCACGACTGCAAGAATTTGACACCACTCGGCGCACGCCCACAAAACTCGGTTCAAGTACGCACGCAAACCGCGCTCTCAAAGCTCAAAGCTTGGGCGGAGAACAAGAAGAAGGAAGACGAGAAGCGGAGAGCCGCGCCCAAGAAATCCGGATTCCTGGGTCTAGGCAAGGCATCGGCGGCATCATCAGCCCAAGCCGAACTCAACGCGCTGAAGCGCACAGCAAAAGGCGAGGCCAGTATTCCTCAGGAGAAACGGATATATCTGCATGTCGAAGCCTCAGCCGATACGACGAAAGCGAAGTACCCAACTGGCAAATTCTTCTACAACAAGGAGTGGACAGTTGGTCGCGTGCTCGACATGGCCGCCAAAGCGCTGCAAGTGCAGAACGTAAACAACCGGGGTGGCGGCGAGGAAGAAAAGCTGCGCGTCTTTCACGTCGAGGGCGGGAGGTTACTCAAGTTTAACGAGAAGCTCGGGGAAGCGTGCCAGAGCGGGAACATGATTGTCCTACTGCGTGGCGTAGGGTCGGGCGAGGCACCAGATCTGATTGATTTATAACGAGTCAGAGTGGAAAGAGGGGTAAACTTGTTATAATGTAATATGGCGTTTGGCGATTGGGATTTCGCACTGGAGATACCCGGGGTTACTTCTCTCACGATGTTATGGTTGAGTAGAGCGAATTGTACAAGTTAGATGTGGATTGAGTGAACAGAAAGGGAGAAAAGAAAGGGCTGGTTTGACTGCTTTGGCCCTGACATCATTTCTCTTTGTTTGCGATCCGCTATTATCACATCACGTGTACCAAGGGCAACATCTGGGTCGCAACTTCCTCTGGAATTCATCACCAAGTGCCAAACAGCCAGGACCTTTGATTCGGATTAATCTTTGATATTTCTATTATGATTCATGTTTTACTACGACTATGTGCAATATCTACTATAGCTGAGGCATCGAGCACTTCGATCGCCAGTAGGCCATATATGCTATCCTCCTCTATATGTATGCTCCGTCATCCGCTCCTGGCCCTATTACCCTATGTACACCAGGGCTCTGCCATGTCTGAACCAATGTTTCTCCTTTGAATCGAATGCTCTACAAGATATTACGCCTCCAGACATCTCCCAGTCATGAGGGTATTTACAGGCTCTTCCGCGTGGCGTGGGTATTATTCGCGGCGCTGGTATCGTATGTCGACGGTGGAATGGGTCTTGCCCAAGCGCCGCATTGACGGTCGTCCGTGATGTGTTTGGTGTTTGGTGTACAGTGGGTACTGTGTTTTGCTCGTTTTACATGTTTCGCATATTCTCCTTCGCATGCGCTTCAATCGTCCGTGGACGCGAAATTGCGGCATTTGAGGCCGTGGATCTTGGTGCCCCAGCCAATGCTGCCAAGGTTGTTTACGCCGTCGGGAACAGTGAGGTACGAATCCATGTCCATGTCGCCTTTGCAGTCGTAATTGCTGTTCTCTTGTCAGCCAATGCTAGCTCACCAGCCACCGTCAGCCTCGTCACAAACTCACTCGTAAAATCTACAGTTCCAGAAGTCGTCGCGTTGCAATACGCTCGCGACATCGTGGCCGCCGACCAATATGCTCTGCACGCGCCCATCGATGCTGACCTGGTGTTAGTAGGGGACCGGCACGAGGGAGCATGGGTCTCGCATGGGTACGTACAGGTTGTTATCGAGTGAGAGACACTGGTTGTTGTACGCGTCGACGCTTACTTCGCTAAGGAACGAAGGCGCAGCAAACAGCTGGACCTTGATCTTGCCCGAGGTGATTGTGTCGCTGGCGGCGACGGAGGCCGCCCATACCAGCAGCAGAGTTGGCAGGGGACCAAGGCGGGTGGCGGGCAGCATCATCATCACAACAGCGGCATCCAGAACCGCGATGGCAGAGGGCGACGTTGGGTGTTCACAGGGGTTTGTGGCGGTGCACGGTAGGACGATGTGCGATGTGCGATGTGCAGGAACGGCGTGAGGGGAGGCGTCAGGCTGCGATGTTGGCGTGCGTGCGTGGGTCAGCAGGAGAGAACTGCAGTCGGCCATGACGGCGCTTGTTGTGTTGGCTGCATCGGGGATGCGTTGCCACGAGCCCCGATTGGCCGTCTGCACACTGCACCGCCCCACTCTAGCGTCCCGGATTGGGGGCCGATCTGAGGCTGACAACCATCAAGTGGTAACCATGTTCATCCACCGTCTGTTGGGGAGAGTTGGAACATACATATATTGGGACCATCAACAGCCCTTTCTTGTTTCATATGGGGTGAGATGTGAAGAAAAAAGAAACAGGGAAATTGGTGGCGGCCATCTAGCATCGGCCAGCCTGGGTATACGAGGACTATGTCTAACAAGCCAACAAAACCCTCTAAACTAGATATCACTGTGGCTTCAATAAGTAAGAGACTCTTACAGCAAGTGATTCTACTTCAGCCTCAAAGAGATTTTTTTACTCCTAGTCCTTGAATACGTGTTGGTTTTGCACTTCGATGGAGTAGACTAAGGAACCTTATATATTGCATCGTACCATCTAATCAAATATGCATATTCATGAACACAAAACAAGATACTTTTCATGATTCAGAATTCATTGACTAAGGAATATACAGTTCTGTTTCCCTCTTAACAACCTTCTGTCCCTTGGTGTAACCCTCTCTCCAAAATGAGGACTTCAGATTATCACCACGCTAGCCCTTCTAACTTACACCGTCCTTGTTAGCTGTTAATCCATTGGCTTCCGTCCCAACTGTCTTTTATCAGTAGAACGTGGTACGCGATGAGTTGGTTAGCACCAAGCTCGAGTATAGCAGGTAATGGGGTCTTGTGTGTACTTCTTACCAATCCCGGTAGCACCTCTTACTGCTGCCTCTAGAGCTACCAGTCTGTCCTCGTCTTCCGTACATCCGACACTTTGTTTGCCTAGCATGAACAGTTTGGTATGAAAGTTAAATAAACATAGATCAGAACGAATCCAGTTCCTTATCTTGATTGTGGAACAACATTCTTACATGATTTGCCCACTTTCATTCCAACTACAAACAAACTCCACCACCCTCCCACCTTGCTTTCCTTTCTCGTCCCCAACCCCCTGAAACACAAACACGTGGGGGAAAAACCGGTAGATCCAAATGCGTAGAAATAAGATGTATACAGGAACTGGATTCAGCACCAAGACTACCACACAGTCACAACACTGAGAGACTGTATAGTTGTCACCGTCAAGGCATCCCTCTTACGGCGTACATAAAGAATCACCGTTACCTACCCACCTCCACATCAGGTAATATCAGTACCCGCACATCCGCTACTGCATCAACTCATTCCCTGAAAGCCCCTGCATATGTCAAACCATGCCGAATACACAAGCGTATCTCATACCCGCCCAACCTCTAGTACCAACCCTCCCCCCACCTTCCACCACACAACCATCCTCAAAAAACCCACCCAGCAGTACCCAGCAGCACCCATGTATCTTCCCAACCACACTCTCCTTCACAGCAGAAGGCACCCCCCACACATCACCTTAGCACAAAGCCCCCCCCCCC